TGGAAAAAAAAAAAGAAAATGGTCCTAAACTGAAGAAAGATCTAATAGTTCACTGAAGTGCAGAAAGAAACAATAAGAAAACAGACAAGTAGACACGATATGGCTAAATTTAAATTCTAAGGAAGAGAATCAAACTGGAACACAAGTGCTAGAAGAGAATGGACAAGTATTGTATCTTCAGACATCTAAGGAAAGAAATTGTGTCATCATAGTTAGAACTGTACACCGAGCAAAACAACCCCTGGGGCACAATGTCACAAAAAGCAATTCTCAGATATGCAAAGGCCCTGGAACTACACTGGCCTTGTGGCCATTCCAGTAAAAAATAGTCAAAGATGTACCTGAGGCAAGTATATGATAAAATTCAAAAGAAATGGTCCACAAGGATTGGTGGTGAGTTAGGATTATGTAATTACTGATGCCATCCTAATATTTAATTAAATTAAAGGTACTTGAGATAGGTAATGAAAATGTACTCTATAAATTCTCTGCTTTTTCTTTTTCTTCATTTCTGATACTTCTTCTTTTCCCTCATTCTTTACATTTTTGCTCCAAAAATTCCATTTGCTTGATTTCTGATCCATAAATAAGGTTTTTAACTATATTTACCTGGGTAATAACTTGAAAATTATAATTGTGATCATCTTTTTGTTTTAATTTCTAAAAAATCTGAGATGTTTTGAGATTGTTTCTTTTGTAAAAATAGACTATTCTTGTCAATTAATGGAATAGTGCATAGAATTTCAATGACAACATAACAATTAAAAAGTTATTCTGTGATCTGGCCATGATGGTACATACCTTTAATCCCAGCACTTGGGAGCCTGAAGCAAGAAGAACCCGATTTTGAGGCCAGTATGGGATACAAAGCAAGTTCAAGACTAGCCTAGTTGCATGGTGAAACCCCATCTTAAAAAAAGTTATTTTGTTTTTAATTTAACTATTTTGGCAAAGTCCTTTTGCTTTGAACCTGTTGATTCTCACATCTGGTAGTGCTTCATTTTCAGCTTATAAATGAAAGTCTAGCGGCACCTGATATAACTTTCCATAATGTAAAAAGGTGCTATTGTATATTGTCCTAGTAGCTACTGTATACTGCATCCACTAGACACAAGTAGCTATTGAGCACCAGAAATGCTACCATGATTGAGAGTGCAAATTTTAAGTTGTATTTAACTTTAGTAATTTAAATTGAAATATAAATAGCCACATGTCGCTGGTAGCTACTACACTGGAAAGTGGTCTAGATTGTTCAGTATTCTTGGTTCCTAAGGACTTTCCCACCAAATGCACCAATTACTATTGATTTCTTCAGTTTAGATTTACTTTTCCAGCTCTATGAAAGGTACGAAAGATGATTGGCAGGGCTATGGATGCCAAGTTCCCTAAGTTGTAGTGCACAAAAAGGCCAGTAGGCGAAGCCCCCCTTAAGGAGGGCTTATGAGAAATGACAAGGATGTAACTGTTCACAACAGCCCTCCACACTCCCAACTTTCTCACCCCCACGAAACACACCCGCCTTGCATCAACATCTCACAGCACTATGCACAGACTACGACAACACACAAGTGACAGCCATAAAGTGCAACAGGCACGCTCACGTTACCATCATTAATAAATAGTTCATGGTGCACATTCATGTGCACGAACACTGAGGAAGGCAGAGGCAGAAGGATCACAAGTTTGAGTACAACCTGAGACCCTAGCGAGACACTTTCTAAACATAAAAATAAAAAGGGTTGGGAACATAGCTCAGTGTGAAGGCCCCCGGGGTTTTCATCCCCAGTATGAAAGGAAGGGATACTGAGGTTAAGCTTAACAGCCTAGGTTGTATAGTAATAACAATAAGCTTGTCTTCTGGAGGGTTAACAATCTAAGTTTGCAGACCAAAATTAGAGAAAAAGGAAATTAGAGGGCCGCAAGGAAAGCCAACATTTTGACCCTAGCCTTCCAAGGTCAATTAAGACCCAGGACATATAAGAACTTGTACTATAACATCATGTAACTCAGTAGTGTCCCAAATTTTCTGATCAAGGAGATTATGGGGCCAAAGAGGAAAGTGATTGATGATGTAGAGTGTGCCTAAGGAGAGTCACATGGAGAGAAAACAGTCTCTCAGGCTTTCACAGAGAGCACATAGGCCAAGCAATGGCCATGACTTATCCACATGACTGACACTGACAAAGGATCTATAATATGAGGTACAGGATCTCAGGATAAATCCTGAGAGGATTTCACTGGCCTTATCAGATCCGAAAGCTACAACTCTTGCCGCATAGGTCCTGCTTTACCTTGGTCTTAACCATCCAGCAGAAAAGTATAAAAATGAAGTATAAGAAGTAAAGCCATGGTTTTATGTTGAGATGTAGGGGACTTAGGTCAACAATTTCTGACATTGCCAGTGAAGCATAAGACCCAATACTATTATGGACTACTGGACTCTTTTAGAATATTTTGCTGAGTTAACACACCTATAGTATTCAAATAAAGGAACTAAACAAAAAAGGGGATACAGATGAATGTCCATTTTGTATCTGTGTATTCAAAATGGTTAGGATAGATATATAGTTACATTCTCTTAATGAATAGAGGGATTTGTTCTAATAGAGTATGTAAATAGGATATCATGTCTGCATCTTTTACAGCAAATAAACACTAGGAAGAATGTATGCAATGTGTTAATTATTGAAACTGTCCTACCAATTTGGTTTGAAACTGTCTCATCGCTATTTGTTTATCAATAAAATTATGGAAAAAATAAATAAAAAAATAAAAAGACATTTTTGTTATGAAAAGGAAAGGAAGGAAGGTGGGAAGAAGGGAGGTAAGGTGCAGGGGAAGAGTGCTGAGAAAATGGGAGGAGTTGAGTGGAGAGAGAGGGGAGGGGAAGGGAAGGTAAAGGAAGGAAAGGAAAGGAAAGGAAAGGAAAGGAAAGGAAAGGAAAGGAAAGAGCATAGGAAACCAGACTCAGAAAAGACCACATGAAGATGAAGGTAGAGATTGGAGGAGGGGTGCATCTGCAAGCTAAGGCATGTCAAAGATGGCTGCCAACCACAAGAAGCCAGAAGAGACAAGCAAAAATTTTCTAGAGGAAGCAGGACCCTTGACACCTTGATTTTAGACTTGTAGCCTTCAAAATTGTGAGATGACACATTTCCATTGTTTTCAGCCACCCAGCTTATGGTATTTTGCTACAGGAACTCTGACAAATTAATCTCTAAAACAGAAAAGGAACATTTGGCTAAGTTCTCAGAAAAAAGGACCACACATTTTTCTACAGCTGGATGATACCTTGTAGATTCATAGTCTGATCCTGTTTGACATGAATTTTCCAAGAATACATTTTAACAGTGTGATAGGCAAGGATCAGGTTAAAAAACAACTAAAAACCAATATACAAACATGAAATGAAAGTATGGGTAGGAGTAGCAGAGGGAATGAGAAGGAGTCTGGGAGAGGTGACAGTATTAGTGGACCCTGTTTTCCAAGTGTGCCAAGTCTGCCATCTTGACCGCATTAAGAGACTCATGGCTGAGGGTGCCACAGGGAGGTGGGGCCCAGCAGGAGCCAGCAGGTCACAGGGGCCCATAAAGAACATACTTCTGGCTGGAGCTTTGCACCTGTACTCTGCTTCCCAGCCACAATGAAGTCCACAGCTTTGCTCCACTATGCTGTTTCTGCTTTGGACTGACAACCTCAGAAAACATGAGCCAAATGAACCATTTCCTTCTTTAGGCTATGCATGTTAAGCATTGTTTTCCAATGAGATAAGTGGCTGATACCACGGAAAAGAACGCTTAAGCCAGGACCGACGCAGCAAGGCTTTCCAGGTGATTTCTCACCTTGTCCTTCGTAAGCAGTACTTGCATTCTCCTGTCTACAGATAATGCACCTACCAGGTGAAAGACTGCCCACCAGCTGCTCGTGTCTTCCACAGAGCCTTCTGCTGACAAGAGACAGACTGCATTCTCTACATCTCGAGGTCCAAAAAGCCCAGCCAAGCCTCTGATGGGCTTCCATGACTAAACTACCCAACACTGCCCCATGTCTGGGCAAATCTCAGAGAAAGAGTGGATGGTAACAATGTGCATAAGAAACAGGTCGAGAGTCCCTTGTCAATAAAGGAATAGTTTTCATTTTATCTCCAAATTATGGCAAAAATGAGGTGAGCAATGGAGGTTAGAGAAGCACTTCTAAAGGCAGACACAGATATTATGTGGATAATAAGGTGCAGTCATGTCATAGATAAATCAAATTATCAACAATTATAGTGATAAAACACTATAATGAAGAGTCAATAAGCATCAGGTATTTAATGCACTATGCATGTAACTATAAACAAAAATGGATTTCACAGTTTGAATTCAATGAAAAGCTGCTTTCTCCAATAAAGGAAAATGTAAGAAATTAGGAGACCACTTTATAATTTGCAGATTTGTGTTAAAGAAATTCTTAATTTTCTTTCTTTTTTTTAAGTATTTAGTACAGGGTCTATAGAGTCTCACTACACAGATCGGACTCGTATTGATCCTCTGGTTTTCAAACTTCCCAAGCACTGGAAATATAGGTGCGCACCACCATGCCCAGTCTCAAATGCTGTTTCATCATGCCCCAGGGTTGGGGCCAACATGGCATGGCACATCAAGGATCAAACCCGGTCCCTTCTGCCTAAGCAGACACTTTAATCTGTTGAGCTATCTGGCTGGCCCAAGGTTCTTAACTTTCGACAGCAAAAAAATCACTAGCAAACACTGGACTGCCGCAGGGCGTGGTACCTGTGTGGTGAATGTCTGCTATACCAGCACTTGGGAGGCTGAGGTATGAGGACTGCCACAGGTACAAGGCTCGCCTGGGCTCCAGAGCAAGACCTTGTCTCAAAAAACTAAACAACAGAAACACTGTGACCGCCTTATTACGGGTACAGTGCTAGAGTGAGATGAGATTATTTCCAGAGACAAATATACAACTTGTAACTTTCAGAAATAGAAATGATCACTTACCATGGTACTAGGGTCTCTATCAGCTCGATCTAGTTCAAAAGAATTAATTTTATCGGCACTCATTTTATCCGTGTCAGCAATGACATAATGCCTGGGGGAGTAAGCACTGGACAGGCTCCCAAGCAGCCTCAGGATCTCTGTGGTGTGCCCACCTGGAAAAAAAGTGCAAAGTCTAAGATTAAGAAACCTGCAACAGACACATCAGTTGGGCATAGTGTAGCAATGTCATGTTTCAGGGGTGGAAGGACCACCAATACTAAAATCTCAAAAGACACAAAAAAAATTTAAAAACAATAGGGAGATAGATGTTCTGCAAAAGGAAAGGGGACCATGAGATGGAAGAAAGGGGAAGGGAAGAGACAGGAAGGGAAAGAAAGAGAATTAAGATGTGGTACATATCTGCACCAACTCCCAGAGAGGAACATAGCCATTATGTACTGCAAATATGTACTAATAAAAAATAAAAATCGAAAAATAATCTATGACCTTGTATGAATACTTTTATATGAGGAAAAGATAACAAGTATATAAAAATAAAATTGGCACTAGTAGTAGGTACTTAAGAGTAAGACACGGTCTGCTGGTAAGCAGGCCTGGGGGCTGGGAGAGTCGGGGCAGGTTGGAGATTTACACAAAGTTCTTGTAATCAAGAAGACTGGTGGGAAAAGGACAAGATAGATACATAAATACAGATTGAGAAGATTTAAGATAGCAAGCAAAACTCAAATACAGGGACAAGAAAATGGTAATGAAAAATCGGTGCTCTAAAAGTAGGGAAGATCACTGGAAAAGGCTGAGATGACTTAGAAGACAAAGGTGACAGAGAGAGAGAAGTAGGGAGGCCATAGGGCAAAGGTAGCAGTGAGAAGGCCAGGCATGAGACGGGTCCGAGGGGTGAGAAGGATACTGGGGAGGGGTGAAAGGTAGAACAAAGTTAGGAGAGTAGGAGGAAGACAGACACCAGAGGCTTCTGTGTATACCAATAAGGCAAGGCAGACATGACCAGCAGTGCTTGGGTCTTCCTAGGGAAGATGGCTGTCCACTGTCACCTCTGCTCCTAACAAGAGTTTCATACACACAGGTCCTCTAATATTTACCAGATCCACCAAAGAAATATATGTTCAAGTTCTAAGATAATATAATCTCAAAAAATCTAGTATTTAATTTCAAACACATCTCCTCAGCATCTGTGAGGAACTGGCTCCAAGACACCCTACAGAATGTACCAAAACATACAGAGGCTCATGTGCTTTACAAGAAAAGGATGTATGTGCATATAAGCTGCACAACTCAAATCATCTCTGGGCTACTCATACTATCGAATACAATCTAAATGCTATGTAAATAGTTATTATAATGTTAGGGCATAATGGTAAGATAAGTCTGCAACCATGTTCAGTATGGGTGGAATTTTTTTAAAATATTTTTGATCAGTGGTTGACAGAATCTAAGGATGCAGAGTTCTTGAATATGGGGGAGGGCTGACTGTATGCTCACTGTTGTTTCCCTTATACAAACAATAACCCACCACACATTTTAAGCAAAACAATTAGAAGACTTTAGGAAGGAGCTACATTTAAACCTATTTTAGTTGCATTTCAGAACACTCTGCTTCAGCCAGATTGACACCTTCACCATTTTCTATTCATCTTAGTTGTTAACTCTTCTTGTCTTTGGTCATGTTGTCGCCTCTACCGAGAAAGCTTCCCCCACTCCACCTCCTTTACTGTTCTAAGAAACAGCTTTTAATATGCCATGAACACATTATGTGTTTTTTCTCAATACATGTATTTTAGTATTAAGAATATAATACTAAAGAGTTTAGTAGTAAGAAAGGAAGAATTTATTTACAGGTTTAGAAGATGTTATATAAAAAAGAGATGTGGCATAGATTTAGTGCGAATTTCAGAAATTAAATTCATATATTAATTTTATACAACTTTGAAATAGCAAGCAATGCCTTGATTGGGGCATGTAATTTACACATCTGGTTTATACTCATTTTAGTATTTTTATTTTTAGCCTTGAAAGTGTTGTGGTTTGCAAAGCAGGTACTTGTTTTCACAGCTAGAATAATTAAGGCTAAAAGCTAATAACTAAACATCTTCCACTGCAATAAAAACCTCATTATATGTATCTTATAAGTTGTTTTTTTTTTCTTTTCTTTTTAAAGGAAACACTTCAGAGTATACCCACTGAAGTTAATCTTGTTACTGAAAAAAGTCATAAAAATGATAGACTATAAATTTGGGAAGAATAAAATCAGCTCAATGCAACCTAAAAATATATCCAGCACTATATACTTTTCACTACCTCTTTTACTATGGTCCTTTTCCAAGCCAGGATTGCATTTTTAAAAGGCTTGTCAAGGAAAGCCTACTAGGAAGGTAACAGATAATTAACAGGCTGGAGATGCCTGCAGTAGACTAAGGGAAGAAGAAGCTAATAAGGTCTAAGAGGTGACAGAGGTCAGGGTCAGATTACAGAAAAAGCCTTTTATTCTGTGGGCAACACGAACGTACTGGAAAATTCTGACTGAAGAAGGGTACCACTTGCCAGAGAAATGCTCAATCTAATTTTAGTTTCTAGTCCACCAACCTAATATTAACCAAGTGAACAGCTTTAACATTCATCTGTATACTCAAGTCAAAAACATCACGCTTTTGCCTTCTCCTGTTTTAATTTAGATAAAGTGGTATCCTTCCTGAAGACTGTGTAGCCATAGTAGAATTGTAGTAAAGATAACAAACACTTTAGCACTTATTGTGGCAAGCACCTCTTCTTCTTGTCTTGTTAGTTCTTCTTTCTTTCTTTCTTCTTTTTTTTTTTTTTTTTAATGTATTTAGTACAGGGTCCACAAGGTCTCACTATGTAGATCTGACTCGTAGTGATCCTCCTGTTTTCAGCCTCCCAAACCCTGGAATTACAGGCACACGCCACCACACCCAGTCTCATTTGCCATCTCAGGGCACCCCGGGGGCAGGGCCAACATGGCAAGCGGGGGAGCGAAGCCCCGTCCCTACATCTGCCTAAGCAGGTGCTTTAGTCTGCTGAGCTATCTGGCCAGCCCTAGTTTTTCTATATTCTCTATTTCATTCGCTGATGTTTCTTTGTGTACTTTTCATAGTGCCTGGTACATAGTTCGCTCTTCATGGCAAGTAACATTAGTCTGTTTTGTTATTTCAAGAGCTTAGCTTACTTCCCAGCCTCTCCTACAGCTCAAAAGTTAAGTGAATAAAGCCATGATTTATACTTGACCAGAAGTATGGTACATTTGCTCATCCTATAAATATTATTCTACATGAATTCAATCTCCCAGCACTTCTAAATACACACTGTGTGTGTGTGTGTGTGTGTGTGTGTGTAGCCATGCAACATGTAATGATATTTTGATCAGTGCTGGACATAATATATGATAATACTCCCGTGAGATTATAACAGCTGAAAAGTTCCTGATGCCTAATGATATTACGGCTGTCACAATTTAGTAACCCAAGGCAATACTCACATTAACAAACCTACTGTGCTGACCATCATATAAAAGTACAGCACATGCAACTAGGTACAGTATTACATAATATCTTATGACAGTAAATGAGTATGCTATCATTTATATCTTTACTGTGCACTTTATTGTTTAGACTACACATCTTGTTATTAAAAATGTTTCTTATAAAACAGCATGACTTGGACTGGTGGCAACAACTTCATGTATATAGCTTTTATTGTATCCATTAATTGCATCAGTTTTTGTTGTCCTTGATTTACTCTTGTGTTGTTTTATAAACTGTGGCCCTAGGAGCAATAAACTAAATCATACACATCTATACCAGAAAGCCTCACTATTTAGTATTCTAGATCACCTAGGATTGTGTAAATACATTGTATGCCTTCCCACAAGATGTAGTTCCCAGAAGTTAACCCTTTCACGACCGTACTTCATTTCTGTCAAAATGATCTGTCTGGCGGAGCTGGGGAGATAGCTCAGTAGAATATAACCCTTGCCTGGTCTGTTTAAAACTCTAAGCACCTTCAGAGACTGGTGGTTTGGGACTGTTTACCTGATAGGTCAGTGTGTTCCTCACCCCCTGCACCATGCTGTCGTTCTACGGTCTGTAGGTAATGTTTTTATCCAAGAGGGCTTTGTACATTCATAAATGTGACACTGTGCTTTGCCTCGTTTATCATGTAATATTTGTGTTTCCTATACTAAGTACAAAAGGCTTAGATAATAAACGCACAACAGCCAAACAGGAAACGCCGTGTAAGCTTCAGCGTTCTCGGTTTACTGATTATTTGTTAGACAGCTACACGCTACAGAAAACCCTAATTACACACGAATGTAAATTATTTGTCATTAAAAGGCGCCTAGGCCGCGTTAACAAAACAGCCTTCTTCCCTCGCTCGGCTGCCTTCAGTAACACAGAAACTACATATCCCAGCATGCAACGCTCCAAAAAAGGCTAAAGAGGCAAGAAAGAGCGTCGCGGTGTACTCTGGGGTTTGTAGTGACCAACCCAAACCGAACGTCACCGCCCTGATACTCACCCGACCCAGCCACTACCAAAAGGCTGAGAGACTCCCGAGGCGTAACATCCTGGCACCGCAACACTGTCCATAGTCTCAAGACTAGGACGACCGCCACCGTTCCCGCCGCAGCTACAGCTAGAATAAGGACACACACCATGTGAAAGAATGGCGCACGCGCGCAATTCCGGGCCTACAGTTCACACGTACGGCTACCGAGAAGACCCAAAAGTGTGGCAACGCGTCTCTCGTTGGGCGGGGCTTTTAGAACCCAGTGAGGTTAAGGACCGAGGACGCAGCTGGGCGTCTGTGGAGTTTTGTTGCTTCCTTATTCGTTTTTGCCCGGCTCCCGCCCAGACATAAAATAAAATCTGGGGAGCTGTAAACTCTGGATAAGTCTCCCCAGTTAGGAGGTGCTCCAGCCCTGCCCGCCAACTTGGGCCCGAGACCGAGGTCGCGTCTCTGGTTCCCTTCTTACCCCCATCCCTCCGCGTCCCTCTTTCCTGTTCTCTCCTTCCCATCTCCCTCTCTCAGCCCCGCTCCTGTCCTGTAGCGACTTTACGGGACCTAAAATTGGTGTTAGGGCCCTTCTGTAAACCTGCTTTCCCCGTCCTTCTGTTTTCTGCGGCCTCACTATGATCAGAGTAGTGGAATGTGATCACCTCAGGTTATATCACGTTCCTGAGAGCGTTTCCAGTTTGTGCTTCGTGCCTTCAGTCAAAATAATTCTCTGCCAGCAACCCCTCTAATCCGTTTTACAGTTTTTTATGTGTACTTTATCAACATTACAGCAACAGGGAGAGAGAGAGAGAGAGAGAGAGAGAGAGAGAGAGAGAGAGAGAGAGAGAGAGATCTGTATCCCAAATGAACTCGCCATTTGGACCCTCATAAATTTATAGGTTGGAGAGGACAAGTACATAGATGCATGTACATGTCCAGAAACGTGCAACAACTTGCTCGGGTAGAATAGTGTCAGATCTACAATTAGAGACCAGGAATCCTAACGGCTGTAGCACAGGTGGAGTGTGTCGTGTATTCCTGTGCTAAATTCGGTCTTACCTGATGTCCTAGAATGTGTTATTGAAGGTTTTATTTCCAGGGTTCCCCAGGGAGGTCCTAAATCAGAATATCAGAAAAGATGCCTGGATCCGCTTACGAAACCAGTGAATCAGTTCTTGAACCAAGAGGCAAGTTTGGGAAGCTTAATGGATAGATCCTTTTCTACTCATGGATGTCCAGATACTTTCTGTTTGTGCTCAAACCCTCTTAACCTGAAATCTGCACAATAAAGTCACTATTAGTGACTTTTTATAAAGAAATAAAATCCCATATTAGTATTAGTTCACTTTTTATAAAGAAATAAAATCCCATAAGGGAAGATTTTCAGGTTGCCCATCAAGAGGTGCAGAGGGTGACCAGGAGGATAATGGATGATCTGGGAGACAACTGGGGACTGGAGTACCAAGGGATGCTACTAGGCTCTCTATTTTAGCTCAGACCTATAGTGCCTAGTGTGTTCTGTACACTAGGTTAGGCACTGGGGGTACAGTGTGGTAAGGTAGTCACAGCACCCAAGCAGTGACTTCACAGTGAGTCTGACTGTATGAGGCCCAGGCCTCTGGTTGGGCCTCAGAGAAAAGCCATCCAGCCCATGGGCTCCCAGCAATCCTGACAGGCCCATTTCCACCAGTCAACTTCGGGCCTAATAAAGATAGAAAGTATGAATAAAGAAGACTGAAGCTTTTCTGTAAGGACCAGGGAAACCATTTTGATCAGCGTTTTGCCTGCCTATGACAAGGTAGGATACAGCTGGGAGTTTCTAGTTTTGGTCAGACAGGGAACTGGGAACATGTGACTACCAGGACTGATGGTCATATATATTACTTTAAAATTTTATTTATTTATTTATTTATTTATGAGAGAGAGAGAGAGAGAGAGAGAGAGAGAGA